GAGATCAGAAACATTTGCTTCTATTTGAGTCTAAAGATCATATTGTTGTTGTAATCAACAAACAGCTTATTCATACACAAGTGTTGTGTAGGAAGCTTTCCATGTTTTTCTAGAAACACAATTATAAACGAGATGATTTCTCTGGTGATGAGATTTAATGTCCGGATACCTCAAAAAGGCTCGAACATCATTTAGTTCGATTATCATGCTCAAAATCTCTGTAAACTAGGATACCATATGTTACGTCCAAATTTTGTTGTAGTTCGCTAATGAAGCAAGGTCTATAATTCCACTCGCGTCTTGCTACCTCAAGTAAAAATTATACCAACTTCCAATTTAGTTATTAAGGTTTATTCATTAACTGCAAGTTACCGATTCAAATATAACGTTCTATTACTAATTATAACAAATCTTCAAACTTCGGGTCTCTGGAGTAAATGTTCCGAAATACCAAACCAAAAGCAGAGTGATATCAAAAAGTCCGATGTCAAAGTTATAAGCAAACATGTTCGAAATTCGAACGAAGCAAATACATCCAAAACAAGGAGAAACTGTCATTATTCAGTGTAATAGTTGTATTCAATCAAATATTTTCATTTCTTCTATAACATTATAATGAATGGTCGGTGTCGCACATTATGTATGTAATAATAATGGAAATCTGGATTCAGTGTTACTGAAATTTATCATTATGAATCCAATGAGCATTCTTGTTTTAGACACCTTACATGCAATGTCCTCAAAAAATTTCAAAATGTTGTTACACCTTTCACTCAAATCATGAACAATATTGAGGGGTTTCAGTACACATTTGTGTAGAACCCGATTTGGGGTAGTGCAATTACGGATATATGGTTACACATGAGCACTGGTTATGTGTTGACGCGTAGAGAGAAATGGTGGTTTAGTTGTTCATGAATAGTAGAACAGTCGTATATAATGTTGCTATTATTCATGAAGTAACTAGTTGTACTCAAAAGACTTGATTTCATGTGGGACTTTACAAGGGGGTGCATTGAGAAGCTTAGCTTGCGATACCTAAAGCTTTATTCTTTGTGGTCGAAGCATACGTGTGTCGAGTTGAGTCATTCCTGATGATTAAGTCAAGAATACTCTGAAGCGCATACAAGTCATGGTGCTTGTGGTGCCGTTACTTTGATTTATAATCGACGTGGCAGAAATTTGGGATGGATGGTTTAAGACTACACCAAACTGCGATATAAATCAAAAGGCACAACGTTTAGGTTAATTTGTATTGAAGTTTGGTTCATATAGTAAGCATTGGTAGAAATTTCAGCACTGCCCCTGTATTTCTTGATTAAACCACTTACTATAGTGCTCTGTTACAGCTTTTGGGTCCGATGGTGTAGTCATCGGATAATGAACTTTACTCAGTACGGCTCTTGATCGCTCACAAAATGTTTATGACTGACGTGCACTGATCCTGGGTGGAAGTTGACTGTAAATATTAAGTGAATCATGTTAATGGTTTTCAAAATCAGCTACATTAAACTACGCAGAATCAAACAAACCGAGGCGATGGAATCATTGTGGCGCTGCTTTAACTATAACAGCACTCAATACCTGTTTGTAAGAATATACTCTGCCTTCACTTGAACTAACCCTCAAAGATAAGGCAATAAGTAGGGTATTACAAATATCTTCTTCGGGTCTGGCCAGATAACCATGCGAGGAAACTTCAACACTCCGTCTCTGAGTCACCCCAATTATAATCCACCCCTATAGGATGACTTTATAAATGAGTCGTTGTGGCTGTTAGAAGTGTGGGAATGACTGATCACGTAAATGACGCCACGAGAAAGGATAAGGATAGAAAACCCTCAAAATAAAAAAAAAGCGAGTGATCAACTTCTAGTCGAATATGTTCATGTGCACGTATCAGTAGAGATTAATGACCACGGGACGGTCAGATCCAACGTGGAAACAAACGATGTACTACGGAGAGACAAGAACATTTCTCACTTTCGTTACACTGGTGCAGACCATACGACCATCAGGGAGTATCTCCGACAGACTCTATGGCCATAAGATAGACAGGGGCTATCGGTTGATGACCACTGAAAGGTATTAAGGGATGTGATTCTGAATTCTATCCCACACAACGTAGCTAAAAAAAATACACAACTGAACAGAGAAGATCCTGAGTTAAGAGGGCGTGGGACGATTTGCACAGGTGAAGAGAGGAAACTGGAATACTTGGGAACTTTCCGAGAAGAATGATAGGCATGGCTACTACTTGACAAAGAGTAGCAGATGCAACGTCGACGTTCGCAGCGATAGCAGATGTGTTCGGACTGATTTAGCACTTAAAATATAAGCCAAATCTAAATACTTTTACAGATTCGAGACTAAAAGAAAATATACTAATCATGAGGTCTGTGATTTTAAAAGATCCTGACTATAAAGTTCTTGTCATCCTATAGACACCGAAAACCTTCAGTTCCCACTTCGTCGATCAGTCAACCAGGAAATCCACAAGCACTGAACTCTCTGAAAACATAGTGCCGACTGAAGGTCAGGGGAATAATTTGCTAACTTTCTGGCTAGTATTACGAGTTCTAAAATCCCTGAACAGAGGAAAGTGGGCAAGAAGCGACAACATCCGACCGAAGGTCCTAAAACAGTGTGTAGAAACCATCGGTTTGGCGGTATGTAACATGTTCAAGCGGTCATTTGAGTCATACAAGCTTCCCAAAATATGGTAACAGATTACCCTCTCTCTTCATTCGTTATGGGGAGTGATAAACAAGACTTAATATTTTATAGATTAACAGTATTGCTCTCAGTAAAGTCTAAGGTAATGGTGGGAATACTTGGACCAAAATGATATTCTCCACGTAGCCAAACACCAATTTTGAAGGGACAGGCCTTGAATATTCAATCTTCTAACACTATCAGACGGCTAGACAACCAGAATAACCTGCGTAGTATTCCATGACTTAAAAGATCCGAGACTACCTAGAGAACAGGTTCACTTGTACCAAGGTAAATAGAGTACAAGCGAATCGGAAGGTCTCAGCACTAGAAGTTCCACATGAGACTGTCTAAGGTTCACTCGCGTTCTTGTTCTTCATCAATGATCTGTTAGGTAAGATTGGCTCTGTGGTAGTGATTCATGTACACGACATAGAGATCTGGAGGTCCATAAAAAAGTGAGACGAATTAACTTTTGCTTCAAAAATACTACAATAGTAAGGGAACGGGCAGTACACAATAGTCTAAAACTTGAGCTGCTGAAATGTTATGACAGTTACATTTTGCGTCATTAGACATAAAGTATCTTTAATTTTCAGGTAGTCTCGGAAGAGCGTGATCTTGGGCTTGTAAACAGGAGGAGTTCGGTCACCAGCTCAAACGACATAAGCCATGCAGCCAAGACATGCGCAATTAAACATTTAATGCAGAGACAAGTTGGCGCGGCCACTGCGGAGTTGTTCCTAGCGTTTTTTAGAACTTACGGGTCCTCCTTGGAGTGCTCAACGTCGCTGATTTGCTTCTCTTCAAAAGAGACATATAGAGACGAGCAGCCAAGTGTATGATAGTTCTCAAATATAGACCTTACAAGGACAAACTATAAAGATTATTCTTGCTTGGCCGCTGGAGAATAAAAGGTTATCTGATAATGGCCTGCAACATAATTAGTACCCCAAGCCACCCCACCGGAATATCACCACCATGCTCCTTGAGGCAAACCTTGAAAGATTTCGCATCAGTGAACAAATATCCAGGCACGTTCTCATCTTTTATCATTAAGAGTTGCTCGCAGTTGGAATTCTCAGACACCGAAGTTACCACAGCCCATAACTTTAAGAGGGGACTTTATAAACACTTACTCACCTACTGATTACCATCTCCCTCTTGAACCGGCTGTCTCGCGCATGTCTCGATAATTACCACGGTTATCATCACCGCACATCAGTTGCTGCTGCTTGTCTCACTTATTATCATCTTCATTCTCCCTCTTAATCCTTCAACTTCGTCCACTTACATACTGCCAATGAATTAACTTATTTATTATTTTTAAACAACCTTGTGGGAGATAGTTTAAGTAGACCATTTGTGTAATCAGTTTTGGTAATATTTTCAGCGATTCTTACAGTTTGTGAAATTACCATCACTACCTGTAAAATTGTCGTTCAAAAAACGTGGTCTTTGGCCATCCATTCTAGTAAGTGGACACACACAACATGACCTATTGATTATCGCTCACAAATACTCTGCTTAACACATAGGTTATTCTAGCCTCTGGACAGACCAATCTAATTATTCTCCTTAAGCTACATTTTCACCTTGCTAATTATTCGCTTATCAACCTTGACTAATTTTATATGAGCGTATGTGTGTTTACCCCTTATCTTACTAATCACTCATTTTTATCTGACTATAAATATTGATTACCGCCTGATCAAATCGAGTTGGCTCACAAGCATTCCCCACCGCGCCTCACTTCGCTTCGTTTCTTTGATTGACTGTTCAGATCAATGAGTGTACAAAATATATATATTCAAAAATACATTCTCTTATTTAACTCATTTAATTCCGTTGTTCACTAATGCGAGTTAAGTCGATAATTTTAGACGAAGATTGTCGATATGTATATTTCGATAACAATCATTCATATGATCCAAATGGAGTCAGATATAGGGCTACTACAACCGTCTACTGCTAGCATCCGAATTAACACTTTAATGTTTTCACATTGCAACCAGCCAACCTTATGCATGGTAACGTGATAGCTGCTAGTATCCACAAATCCTACTGCTCTGAAACAAACTCACCCAAACTACAACATATACAGATTCACCAATAACGACCAAATAATTAGGGTTATTGAAGTCGAATGGCTAGACTACCAACCGTCGGATATTACGAAATACCTAAAACTGTGCCGAAACAGCAAGAGGCGAGCGAGAAAAAATTAATTGATATATACTAGTTCGTCTCAAAGATATTTGATATTAGGTACGTCCAAGGTCAGCGCAATGTTTGTGTTACTCCGTTACACCTAGACGTGTTATCTCTCGTACAATCCAGGTTAAAATGGTGAGTCGCCGTTATATATTTTATGTAATGGAATAAAATATAATGGACAGGATAATCCTGCGACACGACAACCAATGAGTGAGTTGGAATTACTGAGGATGCAGATGAATGCCAAGACTGATGAGGTATTGTTTTTATATAATTTATCAATAACATGATAGACTCTCGATTCAACAAGGAACATGGTTCGTTTGTGCGATGAGGTAAGTTCTGCTCATCATCGTTTTTTATTAGAACCTGGTAGCGACTCACTAAATTAATGAAACATTTAAATGTTTCATTACCATAGCAATTGCTATGGTAAGTATTCAACTTCCACCATAAATTAAATGATACAGTATCACGTTCGAACCATGCACAACAAGTGATCTCTTATGAATTTGGAATTCATTAGAATTCATTGAGCTTCTAAATACTAGCCTTTACAAACATGCTGAAATATGATTGCTAATAAAAATGTAACAAACAAGATTTTAACCTAAACAGTCTGTTATCTTATCAAACATAGTTTGGGTGATATTGTTTAGTTCATAAACTCAGGCTCAATTGTAACGCCTGGTCCGAAGTAACATAATTCGTGTAAGTATAGTATGAACTCAAAAGCTAGGTTGTAGCACTTAAATACATAATGATCAATGGTTTGAGAAAAATTAATGGTAAAAATCTCCTGAAAACTAATTAACTCCTCAAAGTCCGAGCTTTCCCTTGTGCTGTGTTTTTGCTTTTCACTCGTCGAGGTTATTATTGTTAATTTATTCCTAGGTAGGTGTTTGTGTACTTAATTTTAGACAATGTATTGCATCTGCTGATATTATCTGGTTGCCAAATCCTTAGTAGATGGAACAGTTTTCAAGCATATTGACTTGAGTCTAAAAGTTGAACTTCTAAACCACTGTGCTACAACTCCACTCGATAAGACGATTACTCATTATTTAGTTAACTTTCTAAATCGCTCAGCAAACGTACCCTTACACCTTGTGTGTGGTTTTGATTTTTCACTTAATCGCTTACGTTTGACAATGCTTATGTTCTTTCATCGTTTTCTGATATTTCGTCTTTAACGCAAGGCCTGTTGTAAAAACGAAGTAACGTATTAGGAGCCTAAACCAATAGGTTAAGAAAAGCCAGAGGTCGTTAACGGCTTTTTTAAATTAATACATAGTTAAAGTCTCACTCCACAGGCCTCCAAACGCAAACAGAGAAAACGTAAATGCAGGCTTCTAACAAGTTCATGTAAGGATCGTAAACCTCGGTGAGTGAAGAAAGCTAGTGAATTTCATAAGCTACAGGTAATGTTAGACAACTGTTCAGACTAATTTACTAATCTCTCCAGTAATTAAAAAAGTCTCAAGCGCTTTTGTGTCTAAACATTATGAACTACTTGTTGTTAATGGCTTTCCTGTTTTTTGTTATCACTGCTCACCAATTTTAACTATCGCACCATAGTTATTTATTGTACAAGATGGACTAATATTTCACCCAATGAAGTCCGACTGAATTATTATTATAGACTGTCGAGGTAGCATCTACGGTCAGCAGACATCAGCACCAACTAGTTGATGTCAGAATGTTACTAATCCTTTGAAGACACTGGTCTGTTATCAATAATTTTCAAACATTCTAAACTCAAATAGACCAAGTGTTATTAGCACAAGATAGAACTATTTGGACCAAAGCTGTATGCCTCTAAACTTTTGTCATCAAACTAATAGTATGCCAGTGCCAAAGATCATACAAACTACCACAATGCTTCTGTGATTTCGCTGTACCTAAACTGACCATATCTGTCATCATCATCACTCGCATCTACCCGACTTTACAAAATTCTTGACATTTTGCAACAACTCATTACTATGAGTAAGTCCAGTCGCAGCTTGTTTCCAGTCTTGTAGAAATACTTAAGTCTTTGATGATTCAAAGTACGCAGGCAATAATGAACAAATGATTAAGTGCGATTTGTGTAGTTCCTATGTCATCGCATATTTAAATAATATAATCATCAGATTGAAGTCCGGAAAATCGTTCTCTTGGTGGCGGATCTGTGGTATATATTTATTATTTATTTAAACATAAATATTGGTACAAGGAAGCACCAGATAAATATGCGCCTCACAAACCTCATTCGATTTGTGTGGTAGCAAACTTGAAAAAGCCGTCCCCAGAATATCGTCGCTAGGAAAATTGAGGAAAAATATCAAAATTAAACAACCTTATCTAAATCAACAGTCAGTTCACAATACTGAATTTCGATTGTTTTATCCATTCACTTCATCTTACATGTTCCGATATAAGGCTTTTGAGATGTTGACTGGTTTTCCAGATACGGGTTCCGTCTAAAAAAGACCCCTACAACACACTTCCGTCATGCAAACAAAAGATGGTGTTGATTTCAAAAACATATAACAGTACTCCAATACTTTTGAAAGGGTTGAAGAATTTGGCGGAGATTGAAGATGTTATCAACACATCACTTACCTGACCGAAATGCCCACCGACCTCAAGCAATTAAGCATTTTACGAATTTTACACTGTAATAACCAATAACATTGTATCGTAATCTAATAAAATCTGAAGTACTTCTTTTCATCCTGTTACTTTAGTTGTTGGTGTTAGGTTTAGATTACTAGACAAATCTAGCAAACTTGTTGATAGAACCAAAAGTACCCATTGACTAAGTTGATTGGGATACGTCTTCCATATCCCCGATCACTGCCTACCTGGACATGGTGTTGTCTGGAGTAGCAGTAAGTTGGAGAAAGCTTAGAGAAGCTATATCAAGACGTTTTGTCAGTTCATAAAGTCATTGATTGTTGAGTTAACCCATGTTGGTGGGCACAAACTGCTTATTTGTTGTTCACGCGGTTAACTTCATATTTACAGGATTGCCGATTGGTGTTTCTGGTTATGCTACTTGATGTGATGAGTTTAGATATTCCGGTGGTTAGTATCTAATTAAGATACAATGAAAGCTTAAATAATATAATACTTGTAAAGAAGTTTTGAAGTGGATGATAATTTGACTTATCTCTTTCAACTAATCTATCATAAGTTAATTATTGTTTCTGGCTCAGTTTCACAGTTTTTTCATGCTGGAAAGATAGTTTCTACTCTCTAATCCAGAAGTTTTTGTAGTTCAGGACTCAAAAGACTATTTATTTATTTAAACACATAAATATTGGTACAGGGGGGCACCAGGTATATATGCGCCATACCAAAGGACAAATATGTATGGTGTTTTCTAAGCATTGACATATTTTCGTGAATCGAAATATTTTTCAACGTAACTCATTTCCCATACACACGTTTCTGTAGTGGACTTTAAGCCCGAATTCCCGTGTCACACTGAATGATGCTACCCTAGTTTACGAGTAGAAGTAAATAGATACGAGCTTTGAACCTTGAACTTATTAGTGAAAAGCAAAACACATTGACCTCTAATTTATCTCTTCTCACTTCTTCCGTAAACTCTGTGATAATAAGATTTTTGCGATCAAAACTCAAATATCATGTTCTTTATATCTATTTCGTTTTACATACTGTTTTTCATTTGTTAAAGATATTCTGTTAATAAATTTTACATTTCTGACAAAACTGTGTAAAGTATTTATATTTATCGAACTTCTGCTTTTTTGTAATTTCAGAGTACAAAAGTGGGTGCTCAGACACTGGGAAAGCTGGAGTCCCAAGGCCGTAGGTTTTCAATTTATTTGTATAATTTTGAGCATCTTGTCATGTGCTTTTACTTTTTAATTTCTTACCATATATCTTTGTTTTTCTCTCTAAAATCATGATTAGATTGTGTCTAGAGAGAAACCATGAGATGTGTTATTTAACTGAGAAAATTACCAAGTATTGTTTTCTAGTCGTATAAAGAATCATAGAACCCTAAATAAATAATCAGTATCTTTTTGTTGTGAATACCAGGACGGTATCTAATAGTAATCCTTTAGCACAACAGAGAATCTAGAGAGCTCGCTCTTTAGGTGAGAGAGTTCGATATGCACATTTTGACCGTCATATTCTATAAAATTCAGAAGCCTAAATTCTGGATCGATTGCTTGGTAGCCAGGGTATTCAATTCATATTCTCTCATTCATAAGATTCGATTTCCACCCCACGTTTGACTGACAAGTTAACCCCAGGACAGAAAGTAAAATACCACAGAGTTTGACTTGATTGTGGAGTTATAGCTGGTTTTTGAATGTTAGTTCGTCCGAGCGCATCGTTGTTAACTAAACAGGCAAATAAAAGCTATGCGAATTTGATTATATAATGATGATGTGAAAGAATAAACCCTGTTACTACTTGGTGTATGTGTATGATATCCTACTATACACCTATTCGATGAATTTGGACGTGTCTGTGGAATACGGATGATAACATGTTTCAACTAGTTGGTTCCCATTAGAAGTCCATGTAGAGAAATAATTAAATGGTTGAAAGTGATATTCTGTGACATATTAATTTACGGAGTTGTAAAGTTAACTGCATATCGGTTAAATAATTATCTTGGGACGTACTTTTGTGGATATACGAAATTCTAAGACGTCTCAATTCACACAACAAAGTTACATCATGCATAAAGAGTTGCAACTTACAAAATCACGAATGAGGTAATCTTCAGCACTCTGGTCATCGAGTTATTCGCTAATAGGGTAGTTGGTATGCTTTTCATCATTTTCGTCCTCACTGGTTAGTACATATCCATTAATCTGTCAATCATACTCAGAGTAGAACTTGGCACATATGTACGTCGGTTCAAGTTCCCATACCCATAAACACACTGAAATGAAATTGTCAAAAGAGTTGCCAGACTAGTAAAGGTAGTAACATTATTTGTGATAATAGAAATGATTGAATATGATACTATTCGAGAGGAAAATACGAGTTCGCTGATTAAAAAGATTATAAGGAATTAGAAACTAAGGTATTTTGTGAAGGCAAAGAGTAAATGGACCTACGACATTGTGAACGATTGTGATCCATGTCACCCAGAATTTCCAATTATTGGTTACGAGGATCAAACAGACCCGTACCAGGTAGTCTGTACCTACATATATGACTTAATCGGACAGTCAGTGGCTTGATGGAGTTATGCCACGGTTTGGCTTGGTCCCCCTTATCTTTCTCCCAACCAACTTGTAGACCAGCGAAGATGTGTGGTCGAGGCGGTCGGTGGATGGAGATATGTAATGCATGTCGTGACCGTGTCTTTCGATAAAGATTCAGTGTGTGATTAATCGATTTTTTATTTTTTACCTAGTACCGTGGGCCTAACTTCAGTATTGCTCACTAGGTTTATTTATTTAAATTTATGTAAACACATAAATATTGGTACAAAAAGCACCAGATAAATATGCGCCTCACAAATCTCATTTGATTTGTGTGATGGCTGAGATACTGCACAGGTGCCCGAACTGAAACAGGTGGTTTTCTTAGGGGCCACACCCCGAGCCTTTGACCTGAAGGTCTAGTCCACAAGGCAGTGGAGCATCGTGAGGAGATGCAGTCCCATGGTAGCCGGTGACCAACACTAGGTTCATACGTCATTTGTTCCATCAGGATACTGGAGCCAGCTCATGTGCACCATTGGTTTGAAATCAGGGTTTTCCAACTCCCCTAGGTGGACCCTCCATGTCCACCAACCCGGTTAAAGCGCCGTACATTCGCTTTTCGTCCTCTCAAATTCGTAAACAACACCCCTACCACGGGAAGGCAGTGAGTAGAACTTCCCTGTCAGAGGCTATATATTCGCTGGCCATGTGAGAGCATTTCGAGGAGAGCGGACGCTCCCCACTCTCGACCGTACCAGGGCATTTGGTGGCTCACTTGGTGATCTCAGAATACACGAGTGATGCTTCGGAGACACTTATGATCAAGTGCTCGTAGTGTAAGAAGATCGTCACTTGTTCAGCGGGATGTTTTCCGTTAATAAAATAGCGAACTGGTGTTCAGTGTACTTGTCATTTTGTTGGGGGTGGGTGAATATCTCGCTTATGGTGAGGGTGACTCAAGTTGGCAAAAGTCGACCGGACTCTGTGAATTAGTGTTAAGATTTTTTCACACACCAAACAGTCACGACTGGTGATACTCCCAATATAAGTGAGATGGTCTACGCACTCAACTAGACTCCGTATCGTTAGTTGAGGCGTTTGGACAGACCATTCTTGAAGCAAGATTTTAATTAGGAGAGAGGGGGAGAATGAGAAACTCATGATAAAATCCACTTACATTTTCAACTTTTTGATCATAGTCGCTGTTAGGTATCGTTGCGTCTAAATACCATGCTCACTAATGCTGGGAAGAACGTCACTTTGACGGTTAACTAACTGATTTTCTTGCTGTTCCTGAAATATGCTCCTGATTTTTTGTCGTTAAGATTTCTGTGCCGTAATCTGTTTGCGTCCAGTTAGACGAAAACGAATTTCTCGTATTAGTGCATTATCAGAGTCTAGATGCGTACACCGGAATGAGTGGCCGTCTTCTTGTCGGGCCTTTGACGTTGGCTGACGGTGATGCGGTCTGTTTGGGTCCATCCTTGGGTTGATCGTGAAGGTTTCCATGTCAGATAATCTCTGTCTTGCTGCTAGAAGCTGGTGCTTGCTATGAATAGACGGTTATCTGAGCGCTCTTTTAACAGACGATCGCCATTGTTTATTCGTTCAGCTGGACACTGTGATATTTATTTAAGTGTCTTCTCCTTTTGCTTAACTTACCTACCTGTGCGTTAAAGTCTCATGCTACGATTACTACGTCTGAGCGTTTGGCTTTTTGTAGGAGGGCAGAAAGCTTTCTGTAAATCTCTTTTAATTCATCCAAACTGCAATCAGTGGTAATGTATGCAGAGACGGCGAAGTAGAAACGGCGTATGCCCGAATTTTTCCATGTTATTACCACAACATTTAGTTAGATAGTGCACAAGCAACTGTCTACTGTAATTCAGTTTTAGTGATTCCGTTCAGCTTCGGGAATAAATGTTGATATCATTTGCAGTAAACGGTTATAAACCTTTATTTAATTATTGCTCCGTTTTACGTTGATATATTCTATGGCCATAAGACAGTCTTATTGATTAATTCATTTCTAGAACAACTAAGAGGGATCGATTCAGATATGGATAATATTCGTGAAGATCTACACGAAGCACAGCGTGACCTTGATGAGATCGATAAATGTTGTGGTTTATGCGTTTTACCATGGAGAAAGTAAGTTACATATTGTATTTTAAGGTATCTGTTAGTAGTTATGTAACCTCCGAATATTACCATCAATAATAAAAAGGGCGGGTGTGTGAACTGATAGTTTTGCCCCAGAATCGATACTCTAATTCTAAAGGAACAGATTTCCGAAAAAGGAACCACGGATTAACTGGTTAAGTAATGTAAGTGGACACCAGTATGGGATTTTGAAGATAATATAACTTCATAGAGATCACAAATCGATCTGAGTTAGACAAATGATGAAGACACGGGAACACTGGACGACCGTTTTGTCCCAGTATGTGGTTCCTCAGTAGCCCGCATCCACGACTACAGCCGGCGATCGAATCCAGTGCCTTCGGTATCGCTTGCGAATGTTTAACCTCTAAATCACTGAACCAGCATCCAATGGTGTATAGGTTTGACTCCAATGAATTAGAGATATTGAGCAACCATCTCCCACTATTTTGGGTTTGTGTGTTATGTGCTACTTATATGGACAGATATCAGTAGTATGCAGCTGATATTAGAAATAGGATTCTTACAAACAAGAGAAAAATGTGAAAAAAGAGGAAGAAAAATAAAAACAATTGGAGTCGCAACAGGAATGGAACGATGATGGAGTTTGTAAGAGACAGTTCAATGAAGTTGTGCAAATGGTGTATTCAATGTATTGTTGTTATATTTTTGACAAACACAGTCTAGTTTTGCTTAGTACAATAAATTGGTCTACCCTAACCAAGTTTTTGTTCATTAAATTGGTACCTTCTTCACACCGGACACGGTCAAACTCCAGTGTTCATGGCTTCGCAAGCGTATTGAACTTTGGTAGTTGTTCATTTAAAACGCCAATCTCATCTGTAAAGTATAATTTACCTTACATCTTTCTGTTTTTAATTTTCGTTTAGAGTCAAACCGGATACGAAAACACCAAAATATCCAACGAGTGGGAATGGTTATCCAGCTGGAACTAATAATAATTATCAAGTTAACTCTTATCAGCCACAGTCAGGATTCCAAATCCAGCAAAACCAACAAAAGAGTGGGCCTTTTATCACCAGGTATACAATTTTATTACTATTAACTTCTTTTATTTCTCCCCATTTTTGAACTGCTTGATTATACTTTATTCAGTGTCTTGAATTAATCATTGACAATGCACCAGATACAAGTAAGTAATAGTTGCTTGAATACTTTTTCTCCTTCCTCCGAATCCTACATAAATAGTAGATAGACTGTCCTATAAATGCATCAACTGTGGTTTCTAAAACTGTTATCTTACAAAATTTAGAGTATATCAATCCTATCCTCTTCAAAACGTCTTACAATCACGGCAACATACTAATATAATCTTTTTTGCCGCTGTTCAAAACACATTTAGTAGTCTTCAAACGTTAGAGCTCTTCGGTTGTTTCATTATTTTACGTTTTATAGTTTCTGATTAACTACTTTCCACTTCAGAGACAATTAAAATCTCAAGGTGGTACTGAATTATTGGAGTATGATTTTCTATTTTATCAAGTAACCCTGTAATTTTGTGCTAAATAGTTGGTTGTGCTCACCTGTGTTCTCCTTCACTACATTTGTGTCTCTGCCTCCACTAAGGATGAAGATTCCATGGCCGGAGGAATTTGGGGACGGAGATGTGCTGAACTTCCTGAAGGAGTTTGAGGACGTAGCGGAGCTGGTGGGAGTGAAGGAGTCTAAGGCGAAGATGATGGTGCTGAGGACGCTGCTGGAGAACAGGGCGAAGGCTGTATATGACAGCTTAGATGGTGCTGGTGAGAAGATGGCATGTGTGTCAATCACAGAGCTGTTGATCACGGAGTTCGACAGCCCAGTGGACAGGGAAAAAGCGCTTCACAAGTTTCGGCTGGAGAAGTTGTCCATCGATGGTCACCCGCTAGTACTGGCGTTGGAGCTCACCAGGTTCTTGCGCCGCGCGCTGCCGAATCTGGGTGAGGAGTTGGAGGTATAGTTGTTGGCGTTCCAGTTTATCAAGAGCGTGCCTGCCAACGTTTTCCAGCATCTGAAACTAGTAAACGCCTCACAGCTCATGGATATCAGTGAACTGGCGAAGGTGACCTGACAGTTGATGCCACGAGCAGTAGCTCCGGTCGGGAGAAGTCAGGAAATAAACGGTGTCGAGAAGAAGATTGAGAAGCTGCAGTATGAGATTGCTGCAATACGAGTGAATCATGAAAGGAATGATAAGTGTTACGCTTGTGAAGGGATAAGACATTGGAAGATAAACTGTCCAACAAGATGAAGATGCAGATATTTCGGCGTTATAATGCATGTTCTTTCTACCTGGGGGTTGTTGCACTAGTAGATAGAGGAGCAGTCTACGTGAGAGTGAACATAAGTGAACAAGATTTAGTGTGTCTGATCGATACAGGGGCAGCAGTATCGTTAATAGTCAAAAAGCAATGTAGGAGACTCAATCCATGTGCACTAGCAGTTCACACCGTAGGAAGGCACATGTTAGAGGTGTTGGGTGTGTCAAATAGTATCGTAAAAATGGATGATGCTGAAATAAATTTCCCGTTCTTAGTAACCACAAGCCTATCGAGACCGATATTAGGAGCAGATTTCTTAAGAGAAGTAAAAGCAATAGTTGACTTAAGAAGCTATAAGTGATCACAAAGTATGGTTCATTCAAGAGTAGCGACAGACGTTTCGACGAGGAAACCAAACATTAACGAGTTGTGCACAAAGTATACGAAACTATTCACTAGAGACAGCCGTACGGATTTTATGACAAAGTAAAGCACGAAATCCCGTAAAGAACAATCGAGTAAATATATTTGCAACACGTCTTGTCCCTGTGCATTTAGAGGCTGAAGTAAATCGACAGATCCAAGAGATGTTGAAAGAAGGTATATCTGAGGAGGCTGACAGCCCATATAGCTTACCGTTACTCTTGGTAAAGAAACCGAATGGAAAGTATAGATTTTGTGTCGACTTTAGATAAGCAAATAACATAACATAACTGTAACCTTATGCAATGCCAACAGTAGTGGAAGCATTAGATCGGCTGCAGAATTCTACGGTGTTTTTGGTGCTGGATTTCCGGTCAGGTTATTGGCAACCGCCTATGAAAAATAACGATTGAAACAAGACAGCATTTACTGTACGCGATAAACATTACCAATTTCGATTAATGCGGTTTGGATTGGCGGATACACCATTTACGTTCAGAAGATTAGTGACGCTGCTGCTCAGGGGTCTAGATGATGTCGAAGTGTATAGCGACGATGTAGTTGTGTACAATCATGCAGAAACATATCACGTCAAGCATGTGGAAGTGGTCTTAAAGCGAACTGAAGAATTCAGACTTTAAACTAATAAGGACAAGTCTCAGATAGCGAAAAGCAGCGTCATGTTGTTGGGGCGTAAAGTGGGAAATGGAGGAATTAAACCACTGCCGGAGAAAATTCTAACAGTAATCAGCATTGCAGTACATAATTCGGATAGGAAATTAAGACAGTCCCTGGGAAGGGCGGTGTTCTACAATCGGTTCATCAAGAACTTCAACGAAATAGCAGCACCCCTGTATACATTTTTGAGCAATACAAAGTTCACGTTGACTGAGATAGCCCAAGAAAAGTTCAACCGAATCTAAAACATGCTAGGCGACCTCCAGATGACACTCAGACTGCCTTGACTCCAGAAACCGTTTACATTGGCCACAGACGCAAGTGATCATGGTATAGGTGTCGTCTTGAGTCAGTCTGAGAGAATGGTGGAATACGCAAGTCAAGTTCTCACGTCCGGTGAACAGAAGTATTCAACTATCGGAAAGGAGTGTTTAGCGATTGTGTGGGCAGTAGACAAATGGAGACTGTACCTTTAAGGTAGATGATTTCACATGGAGACTGATCATAAACCCCTGCAGTGGCTAAAAACAGCAAGAGACCCCCGTGGGAAGTTGGCGCGATGGATGGTACGACTTCAGTATCGGCCATGTTCCAGGAGAGGAAAAAGTAATGGTCGACTATTTGTCAATACCAGACATGTAAGCTGAGCTTCCGTTGACAACATACGCAATGACTAGTGTAGAGGGAGCCTCACTAGAACTTGTCCGGAAGCAGAAAGCTGACCCTATACTTCGAGAGGTAATCAGAGTGGTAAAAGAGGGAGCAGACGTCGACAAACGAGCAATGGACAAGAAGGTAATGATGTTGATTCGGCAAAAGGAAAGACTGAGAGTGAATGAATATAGGGCCCTGATCTGTCAGGACGATGACGAAAATTGGGTGGATGTGATCTCGAAAGACTGGCGGCGTAAGATGATACATGAGTGTCACGAGGTAGCGCATATAGGTATCTCAAGAACGACAAATTTACTACGACAAAGTGCATACTAGCCAGGCGTGAGAGACATTATGACCCAATACGTGTTAAATTGCGAGCAGTGCCAAGTAATGAAAAGCGATCGATACACACAACCGCCATTGCAGTCAGTCCCAGTAACCTCAGTCAGTGATCTATGGTCGGTGGATGTGATGGAACGATTTCTACAGACGGCGAGCGGTAAGCAGTACCTGCTAGTGATAACGGAACATGATACACGTTGGGTAGACGTCGTACCCATTGCAGGCCAGCGGGCAAAAACAGTGACCGAAGTAGTTATCCGGCATGTTGTAGCAGGTCACGGAATACCGAAGATGATACTAACCGACCAAGGTCCCTATTTTGAAAGTGACGAATTTAAAGCCCGTCTAAAACAGTTTGGCATCAAGAGGATACAAACTACACCGTATTATCCCCAGACTAACGGGCTTACAGAAAGAAACAACCGGACGTTAAACTAGTGGTTAGCCTCTAAAGTAGGAGATTGGGAAAAAGAGTTACTATTGATTTTGCTGGCGCATCGTGCCTTCATACAAGTGACAACCAAGGTGTCACTCTTCCTGCTAATGTATAGTAGACAGCCACTAACAATCGTTTCTGAATGTTTTTGCACATTGTCGTATACTTACTGGTCAGGTCTTATCCTTACAAGTGAATTGCAACTTTCATCAATCATTAATTGAATGAGGACAGGCCATCTAGGTCACACTCACTCAAGATAATGGGCGCATGAGCAAAATCCTTTCTATTATTTCCATAATTATGACCATAATCAACAGCCTTATTAGCTCAGGATATTTCTTTAATACTATTCAATCATATTAGTCACTATCGATCTCATGAAATGCTTAATCTCTATTGTATCAGTAAAACATAATTAGTTGTTATAAGGTGCTCTAATTAACTATAAAGTCTATCATATATGATGAAGGCCTGAAGCTGTGGCTTACGAGCAATAGTTTGAAATTGATTTCGCCTATCTAAATTTTCTTATAAGCAATTGAATCTCTAGTTCAGTGTTTATTAAATAGAAAGTTGTTTCTGTTGGAAATGATATTTTCCTTTTTTCAAACTGACTCACAGAATCACTAATGACGCTCGTGAAGATGAAATGGAACAGAATTTACAACAAGTTTCAGGAATGGTATCGCAACTTCATTCTATGGCTACTGATATGAATCAAGAGATAACAACACACAATCAGATTCTTGATCGAATCGATCAAAAAGTTTGTTTTTTGCACTTTTATTTTATTGTTCACTGTTTAGTACTGTCATCCTTTTTCGCTTATTCCGCTAATTATCGACATCATTGAAGAACTGTGAGGTATATTGATCAAGAAAGTCGAATAGTATCACTTACTGTCATACAACAGTCATATATTATGGCTCAAATCCCGTGAGTACACGATTCTGTACTTGGTAAATGAGACTGATATCGTGAGTTAGTTGTAATTCAACAGTCTATGGTAATTCGCCCAAGCTACCTTGTTTGGAAACTCTCACCTAATTGCCCCTGAATCCTTATGATGTGTACCTGACATTGAGTAACAGATAAGATGTGCGAAACATGAGGTACCATGAACGAGAGTTTATTCTGGCCCACTTTTCTCTTTAAATTAATGATAGTTTAAGACAATATGATACTATAATATCTTGCCTGTCTACATGGGAAACTATTTGCTTTTATTCAGGCATTAGGATTAAAGTTGAAAAAAAAAAACCTGTTTTGTATTTAAAACTTCACTAGACATTTTCAAATATCCATAGAATAAAATTGGTTTTCTTTCATCCCTTAATCACACTACTCAGTCGGTATATCAATCAATAAAGTTATATTTTTAGATAAACGGATTAACAGTCTCTTAGGTTTTTATTCCTGCAATACAATTTATAACTATGTACATGGACGTTTCGTTAATCCAAGCCAAAAATACCCAGTTCATCTTGTTTAATTGGTTAATTTTAATGTAAGAAAAACAAGATTCCTTAATAAAATAATTATTAGCATCCGAAGTTTATGTTGATTGTTCAGTTTGTAGTTTATATCATGGACTGAATTTAGCTAGACAACCAAGGAACACTGATCGCTGTTCCAGTTTAATTAATATAGGACTTCTATTTTACGTCCGACAGGGTTGAACTCCATTGGTCACGGCTACTAAAAAAAGACACTTATACTCACTGGACGACAAACAGCACTTTTCTGGTCAATTCCAATTAAAATAATGAGAATTCATATTCACATCTTGTTTCAACTGGATAGAAATTTGTTTGTTAACTGGAATCAAGTGAAATATTGAATACTTGTTTATAACTTTTAGTTGTTACACTGAACGTTAAATTATATAAAACTAATTTTCATAGTTGAAAGCGTGAATCAATTGAAGCTAGACCACCAGGAAAAACCTGGAAACACTGGACGACCGTTTCGTCCTATTGTGGGACTCCTCAGCAGTGCACATCCACGACGTCGCCTCGCGGGATTCGAACCCAGGACCCACCAGTTTCGCGGCAAAGCACTTAACCGATAGACCACTGGGCCGGCATCCGATGGTGTTTATGTCTAACTCCAACCAATCCACGAAGTAGAGCAACTGTTCACTAACCATATGAAACGAATAAACACCACTTTTCCTTGAGAAATAGTTATGCAGTCAAGATAGTGAAAGATATCAAATTGATTACAAATAATCAAATGTTCCATACTTGAAGCATAAATGGCTTTTCTTAATTATAAATGATCTATAATTTTACTCAACACACTCAGTGCTTAGTTAACCTAATTGAACTAAGAAAATGAACTGCATAGGAAGCTTCATTTGCTGAGTAATACATTTTTACAGCTCATTTATGTTAATTAGTGTTAGTGTGTATAGTCAAAACTTGAAGCCCTCGAATTCTGTGGTGAATCTTAACAAGTTGAATAATATAACCTTTTATTGAGCTTCCTTACCCTTGAATTTAATGTAGCATACAATCTCGGTACTTTGTGCGACATCACTATAGGCCCAATCTGATCTGTTCATCGTATCACCTTCTACTTTAATCGCTGTGATGATTACGTTTGGAATTCTTTTTACGTTTAAGTCTGTAAACATCTCATTATATTTTCAAGTATCTCACTCTTTCACGTAGAAATCGATTATTTTTAAGAACCGTATTTCTTCCTCTTTTATGGAGATTTACTAAAATTTCTCAAGAGTTAAAAGGAACCAGTTAATTTAGGAATGTAAATGCATCGCGTCTCAAGGAGTGGTATTCTGATGACTAAAGCACTTGGTTTTCTGCAACTAGCTTTTAATCCCTCTTCACATTTACTAATGTGGACACCCGGCGCTTTCATACTACTGAAATGTGACTCAAATCCCTGAGTACATAAATCTGTAGTTGGTGGATGCGTTCATCATGTAAAATCCTTGTGTCTATGTAGATGTGTTCTGTCGTATAGTCTATGTATTTTTTTCAAGTAGTAACCGAATGTAAAATGTAATCTAGTTGTGATATTTCTCTTCAGAATACATTTTTAAAAATTCTACTTATCCAAACATTAACTTAATGCATCAATATATGGCTTTCTAGGCTCAGTATAATCAGTCACAATTGGAGTTCGCTCAAAAGAAAGCTGATAAAATTTTAGGGTAAGTTCATTATATATACTCAAATGAATTCTTATAGTTTATAACGGAATCTTAGTTATATAATTGAAATATGTTATTTATTAATAAATTTATTGATAAAGTTAACCAACATTACTGACTAACTAGCAAGAAACCTAGGTCCAGAGTATCCTAACGACTAGCTCCAACCTTCTAACATCTTAATTTAATCGTATGATTTCCTTATTTTCCTGAAATCCAAACTTGAAACTCATTGCTCCAAAAAAAAAACACCAGGCTATGTTCTCTAATACTCATTAGATTATAAATAAACAAACTCTTTTCGTGTTCGAACCGTAAGTAATAGAAATTGTGCTGATTATTTCAGTTACACACGATAGTTGACTGTAATGTTTTAATAACTTTACAAATAGGTTTTTTTTTACGTCTTACATATAATAAAACTAATAGTATTACTTATCTGCATCCTGAGATATTCTATGGAGGATAATAATTCAACTAAATAGCTAGCCACTCACAAGTCTACTACTTAATCTCTCATCCCATTTTTATTTATTTAACCAAACTGAGTAATACAACAATGAGGGCAAGTGAATAAAACATTGTTATCTATGAAATAAATGATACCAACTTCAAAAAGCACTAATTCGGATAAAGTAAACATCCTTTTCATCTATACATAAGAATAAATTAATATTCAAAAAACAGGATAGAATATCACTTATACTTATACATGCAATAAATAAACATAAGTATTAAAATGATTATGAAAGTGTCAGAATTTTGAATGGAGTAAATTTCAAGAACGTTGGATAATTCCTTGAAACATATTATTCCGGTCAATCTACAATCGTAGGCATATTAATATGGTTGTAGTTTGTTAATCATGTGTTTAGTGGTCAATGAAAGAATGAAAGAATCAACGGAAATGTTAAGTTATATAATGATAATAAAACCTACTAAGATAATTAATGTTTAACAGAATCAACTGATTTAATATTTGTTGAGTAATCTAGATATAACCCATCTCTATTTAGTTGGTTTAAGCATTAACAGTGTTGATTAGAATAAAAATGAAAATTTTATAACTAAAATCATCATTGAATTTAGAAATTTGTAGTTAGAACTCAAAATACACTGTAATATGTATAGATATGTCATTTGATCAAATTTATCGCATCTTCATGTAAACAAGTTTTGTCAATATTTTTCACTAAATAATTACAGGATTGTAAGCAAAGATGGATAGTGGCTAGCAGTGGAATCCAGTTTGATGTTGATGTTCACTCTAAGACTTGAACCCAGTACCCTCGCTTCAAACGCCATCGCGTTATCCACTCGGCCACTGAGTCCTGATAACCACTTGCTTGTGCGATCTTTGCTTACAATGCTTGTTAATTAAGGCTATATCAAGGTAATACACACAGTATGCACATATACCAATTAGAGACTGACCAGTTGCAGTCTTAAACATCGATGGGAAGATTCAAACAAACAATAATAAATGTATTACAGGATTGTTATCTGATATTCTTGACCGTTGCTGCTACCTTGACGTGGTGGTCGGGCTTGCCTATCGTGATGAACCAATCGAGCTATACTGGCTGGAACAATCGTTCCTCAAGGTCCTACAATGCCAGGCAGGTCGTTTGAAGAGCGGTGAGACTAAAGTCAGCAAACCCAAGGTCCGAATGCGAAGTCGTACTGCTGACTGTACAGAGGTGTGACAGCAGTAAGGTGTTTCCTTCAGACAACCAGCATGACAGCGATGCTGCCTTCCCACAAGGAAGGGTGGGGTTAGAAAAGGTCAACCGTAAAAATGCACACCTCTCCTTATCCCACGGATATCCGTCTCCGGCGGTAAGGTCCTGACAAGTACGGAGCTAACACAAAAACTGCCCACAAAAAGGTCGTGTGTGACCGACCTCAAGCAGTTGTTCCTTGGGCACTGCGGTCACTCTCTCAGGTCATTAAGACCACTTCTAACCCAATTTCCTTTTCAGGTACCCGTAGAAGAACCCTTCCACGATGTGGGCAACCGGGAAGTGACATCAGCCCTCATACCTCTAACAGCACTCAAGACCACTATATTCATAATCAATCTCCTTCTTCAATTCCTACTATTCCTTCTACCTTGACTTTCAACTACACATTGGAGCCTTCAACGTACATACCCTATGCCAAATCGGTCAACAGGCCTCCTTAGCTAAAACCCTAGAATCTCATACCATTGATGTATGCTGTGTCTCCGAAACACGCATACAGGATCCCAGTGTGGTTATTCACTTGACCTCACCTTGCCAAATTGGACAGCCGACGAGATACACCCTCCGTGTATCTGGTGACCCGTTGCCTAGTTTTGATATATCTGATATTTAGTTAATCAATTGTAAACAAGTTATAATCTGGCATAAGCATTCACATCAATTATACTATCATTAGTTACCATAGTTATTAATTAGAAATGAACAGGTTAAAATACACTATTGATTTGAGATTATTCTTCTTATTTGTCTAATGATAAGATGCATAAGTTTTGGTATATTCTCTTTTCTTTTTCCAATGTTCACTTGAGTTACTTGTTTAAAAAAAAAAATCAGAAATGTGTCAGCAGATCAAGTTTCTTTTGTTTAAATTTTTCATTTATTATTGATTATTTTTTACTATTCAATACAATAGGCTTCTATTTTAATTTTATAATAATATAATACATACAATACTTAGTATCCATTGAAGTAGTCATATGATTTTCCAGTTTTTCACTTATCCAATAAGAAATATAAGCTTAGAAGAATAAGAAAACTCTTGAATATACTTGCAAGGTTATAAATATATAGACTAAATGGAGAATAAAAATGATTATTGTGTTGTTCTTATGAATTTAACTAGTCAGTCTGTAGTGAACAGAACACTGGTTGGGGACAATCGAATGTATTAAGCAAAGATTACAGACTATCTCGGTAAATTCTGATAACCAAACAATGAACAGTCAATTTGCAAATTAACTACCAATTGTTTCAATCTTCACTGTTTCTTCTCTTATTCCATTGCTTATGCATTTTCCAAGGGATTGCGCTTCATTTCAGTTCTTTCGTCATCGGTCTTCTGCCAAAATACATTCTATGTCTGACCCACACCATATACTACTTATATGAATATAAGTAGATCACACCACAAGTCTCCTGCCACTTACTAATACTGTTACTACTGATTTTTTATAAATTATTTACTTTTAAGACTACATCTATATGTATAGTTATATGGATGTATGTTGTTCCTTCTTCTTCTAAAGATTCTATTACTGTTTTTAATCTGATTCTACTTTATCGGGTAAGATATAGGTCTAGTGCAGTCTTTTTAGCAAACACTTTTATCGATTGATTAATATTTCGTTATTTTCACGTCATCCAGTCAATACTCTCATATTATATATGATTTCTAAGCTATCATTTAACTTTAATGCTCTACTAGTCTTTATCTCGATTATGGTGTTTTACAAATTCAATCAGTCGTGTGATTTTTGGAAGTCATGATCTTAACTAATTTGTCAGTAGTCAGCAAACATACTCGTTGTTATTAGTCACCAAGCTGCTTAGGGGCATGAGTTAAGTTTATTCTGTTGTTTGGAATTTCGCATTACATTAGTTTCAGACTATGAAAATGAACCGAAAATGTAGTATTTTGTCACTGTTACTTTCCTCTCGTTAATATTCGTTTTTTTAATATGCTTATGCTGAATGTAAAAAATTAGATCTATACTTATTCGTACTAGATCCTCGTTTGTTGTTACTTGTTCGTCAAAAAAACGAATTACTATATGGGTGGTACAATTTCTGCTTATTAAAGTGTTAGGTTAAGAGATTCGCGTAGCTTAAGGCTTTGTCTTTTTATGTCTTACAACTGACCAATACGTGTAGATGACCTTAAGCAACCAATGCCTAGCAAGGAAGAGGAAAACTGATACTCTATGCCTGAAAGATTGGCCCATTACTAACTAGTCCCGAACGACGAGGAAGGACGCAACACTAATGTTCATCAGTCCAAGATCTTTATTATATTTCAGACATTCATTTACATACTGTTATATCTGAAGCTTTTCTAATTCACTAGTTAGCGAACGGAGCAAAGACTTGTGACCAGAGACCGATAAGCTAGCTATTCTGACGCGACCCAGACTTACCTAACTGGAGTAAGAAGTCCAAGTTGGAAGCGGGGAAACTATATTCCGTAGCAGCCAAAAGCACAACAATCATAAGGGGAAAAATCAAACGTATATATACAGCAATAAATTGTCCTTGGGCAGCATTACAAAATAGCACACTCAAAGATACAATGGACCAACAGCGTTTAAGATATTTTACAAGTGGGAAGTTCGACCCAAAGGTGAAAGAGCGCTTTTGGAGCGAAAACAAAGAAATTTGAATTTTCAAAATAAAATTACAAAATTGAGCCATTTACCGAGTAAGTTCTGGGGATCTGACATCCCCAACATATACGTACAAGATTAGACCACTCAGCAGACCATTTGAATAACAGTATTAACACGGAACAACAATGTCAAAGATGGGATGAACAGAGGACTGGGTACACAAATAATTGGTTCTAGTTTATCAGTGGGAAATGCTATAGCAACAATTTACGGTTTAAATAAAAACGTGGAACTAGGGTAATACAAAAAATAATAAAACCGAAATACTTAATAAACATGCAATCAATATAGATATAAAGAAAATCGTAGAAAAATAGTTTCGAAAGTTTTTACCTCGTATTGTCAAGTCACTTACAACAGGTTTTCTTCACAGACAACAGATATTATCTGGCGATCCGTTAAAAAACAATAAGCTAATGTTTTTGTTAAGAACTCCTGCAATGTTCATGGTGCCTTTAGACAAATGAATCGACATTCCAATACTCAACTGTCCTCATAGTATACAATAACAGTGTACACTCACGAAAAGTTGCGAACTAGAACGAAATGGCTTTTCTGTGCTCATTGGTTTTCTAGTAGTTTTTTTAACTTCTGTCTGTTCTTAATACAAACGATCCTCAAACTAGAGCTTAAGTTAAGTTATCCGTAATTGATATACCAAGCAAAACTTGTTTAGATAGCGTTCTTCGGATCACTACTACCCCCTCAACTCTTTTTATGTTTTTATTTGGATCACCTTCAACACACTACGTAGTTTTCAATTCATTTAGAATCTTCCCCTTTTACAGAACATCTGTCAGTTTCCATGCTATCGGATGACAGGAAACAGTGAGTTGGCTAAAGCTCCTATCCCACCTCACCTCATTGCTTACTTTGGGAATTTCTTTTACAACAGAAGTCTAGACGTTCCACAACAAAATTCAGAAAACTGAATCTCCATGGCTTGCGCGTTTGGTAAATGTTCTAATTCAGGTGTCTTCAAAATAATTGCTAGATATTTTAATTTCTTCCTTCTCTACGCAGAATGGTGACTTCATTAGATGATGGAGAGGGTTTCGAGTGCCTTAATTACTGAGCCACCATTCCACATTTCATTGATATTACTCTTGTTCACATAGTCGTGATTTAGTGATCTAACCATTAAATCTTTAAATATTGTGTCTCACACATTCAAATATGAGAAATGTAGGATGATGGCTCAGCAGCTGGTATTTGTTCATATTCGCGGTTTAGAGAACATGCAATGCTTGAATTCATAAAACTAGATTGTTCATCAGAATAATCCAAGAAATTGCACCGAACGTTTTGTGTGAATAGCCACTTATTTCCTGTATGGATATGTTAACACCAATTAGTATAATGGTTATGATAGAATTTCCAAGTACTTCAATTATTAACTAGTTCAATCAGTGTTCATAACAAACATATTTCATGATAAATATGGACTTCTGTCTCCCTACAATTGTTAAACGAATGTACTTATTTCATACGATTGATAGATTTCACAAGTTTAAATAAACGAAAAATGAAAATATCTGTAGAATGTAGGGAATTTATTGTACCTACTTGTTTTCTCTTTGATTATTTATTTATTTATTTAAACATGTAAACAGTGGAACAAGGTGAGGCACCAAATATATATGTGCCATACAATAACAATGAAACCATTAGTAGTTATCATTCGATTTGGGTGCCCAGACCGAAGCAGGTGATTTTCTTAGGGGGTCACACCCGGAGCCTTCAACCTAAAGGTCTGATCCACAAGTCAATGGAGCAACGTCAGGAAATGCATTTCGTGCTATCCGGTGACCGATAATTGATTCATACTCCATTTGTTTCCTTAGGATCCTGTAGCCCATGTGCACCATTGATTTGAAATCAGGGTTTTCCAACTCTCCTACATGGGTCCTCCATATCCACCAACCTAATTAAAGCTCCGGACATTCGTTTTTCGTCCTCTCAGTTTCGCAAACAACACCCCCGCCGCGAGAAGGTAGTGAAAATCAATAGTACTAGAAAACATTGAGTGTAGATTACATGAATCATGAAGGATAAGTTTGTGGACAGAAGAGTACAACATAATTTCAAAACTCAAGACCTAAGTATGGACAAAGGGTGGATGAATGTGTGCCATTTTGAACGATTCTGATCAAAGTCACACAACTCCCCAGACTATTAGCTACGATAATCACACGGACCCTAACCAGGATAGTCTACGTTCACCAATGAGGCTTAGTCTAACAGTCAATGACTTCATGGAGTGATTGTGCATGTGTAGTTTGATCGCTCCTAGCTTTTTTCTAACCCATTCCTATACCGAAAAGCATTCCCTATTGAAGTTGGGATTGGCTGGGTATGATGTAATAAATATCTCAACTACTTCAGTTGATCGAAATTCGTTACCTCATCAATCTATTTATTATCCTTATCAAGTATCCTTGGTCCAATATCAACACTGCTTATTGGGTGATCCAAATAATATCCGAGCAATGCCTCAAAAGTATCTATTATTAAATAACAATAACCTATGCGCACACCATTTTTTTTAAAAAAAAACCTTTCCCTGTCATTGATTAACTATATGATTTTATCACCTTTGAATATCAATTGGATAGAATTATATTTCTTTTAAGGTATATCAACTATGGCATTTAGTACCGTAATTCTCCAAAAATGTCTAAGGGTACCCATTTATTCATAATCTATGATAGCGCATTCCTCCTTCAGCTTTTCTGATGAACGTAACTTTTTAACTCCGTAGTAGAGTATTTTCATCAATTCATATTGATACATGCTGTTGGGGGGGGGCGGTGAAAGTTATAAAAGTTTAAATATTGATTTTTTTTTAAAATTTTTTTTTGTTTTTCAATTAATTTTAATCATAATTTATTGAGGTTAACTCAAATATCTTTCGAAACGTTCTAAGCCCTTTTGATATTACGTAATAAAACTTAAGTTAAATATTCTAAAACTATAAGTAATTATTTTAGAAAAAGACTTTACAAACAACTGATTCGTTATTAATGAACAATTCATGTTATCAATTCCATATTATGTTGATTCATTCAAAAATAGCTAAACTTTTCATTAAAATTGTATCTAGTGTTGTTTACGAAATTGAGAGAACGAAAAACGAATGTCCGGAGCTTTAATTAGGTTAGTGGATATGGAGGACCCATGTAGGAGAGTTAGAAAACCCTGATTTCAAATCATTGGTGCACATGGGCTACAGGATCCTAAGGAAACAAATGGAGTATGAACCAATTATCGGTCACCGGATAGCACGAAATGCATCGCCTGATGTTGCTCCATTGACTTGTGGATCAGACATTTAGGTTGAAGGCTTCGGGCGTGACCCCCTAAGAAAACCACCTGCTTCGGTCTGGGCACCCGGACAGTATCCCAGTCCTCACACAAATCGAATGATAACTACTAATGGTTTCATTGTTATTGTATGGCACATATATATTCGGTGCCCCACATTGTACCACTGTTTACATGTTCAAATAAATATGCGTCGTTAATTTTTATTATTACGGTTACAGATCGTTGTGATAAGCGCACCAGTTAACATAAAACTTAAAAACGACATGACAATCTTCTGATTACTTCCAGCTGCATTAAATTATACGATTCTCACGTAAACTACAAATTTTCTGCTAACTTGATCTCTTTATTATTATTATTATTACTTATAGACAATCATCGAAACCGGACAACAAAAGTAACAATATTTTACCATCCAGTACAACTCTCACAGCCGCAAAAATGATGATGAAATAATGATACTGATAAGAATAATAATGAACTTAATGATAATGTGAATCTTCATCTGTGCCTTTTGTTTGTTTGTTTTTTTTTGCAGCAAAATCTACTGAGCATCCTTTCACGTAAATGCACTTATACGTTTTCATTTTCTACGTATTTATCCGTTATTGTTTCTTCTCTTAAATTGACCTACTTTTCAGTGCCTTTGAATCTAGGACCATCATTTGTTTTGTATTTGTTTCCACTTCTTGGTTTTTGATACCGTGATTATTCCTTTCTGTTTATTTTATAAAGAATCATTTCTTTGTTACACTTTCTATCTGTTTCTCTTACAACTACTAACAAGACATTTCACTATAAACCCCTACAAAAAAAATTGTAATTTTCTTTAGGTGCCTTGTCAACAATACCTTTTTATTTCTATATATTCAAATGAGTTACACAGATGGTATTTTCTGCATGTGTTTTTTCTTTGGTGCATGATTTTGGTTTATTTTTGTAATTTTTTTTGTATTTGTTCCTTTTTTTTTTCTTTTAATTGAGCAGAAAATATTTCATTGTCTTGTAACCATCCATAAATAAATAATAGCATACTCTTGATTCTGTTGAATATGTCCCGTGTGTGTGTGTGTGTGTGTTCCCCACCTTGTGTTATTTATCAAAGTGTATTTAAGAATTATAAAATGTACATTTGATTTGGATGAGCCTTCCCTTTGATTTGTCATTTACTAATGTTAACCACTTACACACACTTAAAATTGCACCACATACACACACACACACACACGTTTATTTACTCTTGAACTAAAATGTAATATCATTACTCTTTTTTTTTAATGATTGTAAACATAAACCATACGACAAGAGTAAATTGTGCTTTCACTTCCATTTCATTCTCTATCTTTAACATTATGATTCTTTCATCCAGTCTTTTTTGGCTGTGTGTAAACGATTGACATCTGCATAGATAATGTGGAAAGACTAATTATAGTTTCATATTTCTACTCATATTCATACATTTACTTCAGTGTATCACTGGTGTTTATGCTACAAAATACCATGAACTATTGATTATAAAAACACAGGAAACCATGAAAAAATGTATTAAAACAAAAGTATAATTCAAAAATAAAATGGTTTATTCAAAGTATAATTTTATGAATTCGCTTGTTGAGTGTTTGAATGGTAATGGTGTTGTGCCATTTTCATTATTTGAAGTATTGTTGTCCTTTTTTTATTTAAAACAAAATAATAAGTGCACTCTGTTTCGATGGATTGAAAAAAGATTATGAGAATACTACTGTTTACTCATAAAGGTAGTCCGTTAAAATTTGAACTAGTAACCTGGATATATTATCACATTCATTTAGTTTTGTGATTAAACTTTAGCTATAAAGTTTAATGGTCTACCAGCGTGTTTGGTACCTAAGTGGTTGCGCCACAGGATTGGGCTGAGCCGTTCGGATTGTAACGTTGAAGCCTTTATAGTGTCTGGTTCTCTTGTAGGGCGGGATTGAGCTGTACTGCTTGGGCTAAGCCTGGGCAGTATCTGGCTCTCCTGTTAAACGGGATTGAACTGTACTGTTTGGGTTGCCGCGTGAAAGTTTGGATGGTGTCTGGTTCACCTGAAAACCAGTGCAAGATTACCTTGGCCCATAAGGGTATTATATATATATATATATATATATATATATATATATATATATATATATATATATATATAAAGTTTAAGACAAAATAAAGTTAGTTCAGTTTTTAAAATCAGAGATTGAGATTAACAAAATAAAAATGGGACTCTGTTGATTTGTGAAAAGTGGTGAGATGATGAGAGCGTCATGTCGGGAGGAATGTCTGTGACAAAGTTAGATGAAAATGAGGAAAGGTGACAAGCCTGACGTGCAGGATTTAAGGCTGGTGATTGTGATGTCAGTTCTCTATAAGCTGTGATTCGACGAATGTTTGAGTGGAGAACCTGTACAAGGTTGTTATAGTTTTCTCCTACTCCTCTGAATGATAGACACAGAGAGAAGGTGTGGACTAGAGGAGTGGAGTGTTTGTGGTCACCACAATAGGATTTGCGTTCCGTTGTGGGTTGTAATGATGAGCAATGGAGACCAGTCATATGGTATTATGTTGAGTTGTAGTAGTTATTTTTGCGAATATTTGAGTTGATGTGATAACTGAGAGTGAACGAGTATCGTCAGAGATGTCAGGAGTTAATTGATTAGGACCTGGTGGTCTTTGTCACCTCACCCTAGATTACTTAGAACTTTCCCTACTTCACTAAAAGTCGGATGACTTGTGTGGACTGTCGAAACTGAATATTGCTATTAACTGTCTAAAAGTGATTTCACATACACGATTGCCTTCTGATCTTAACGAGAACAAGAACAAATATTTGAGCAGAGCAAAATGAATTCATTTTATTTCGTTTTGTTCTGATCATCTGTTTACAACTTGTAATATTAAGAAATCATGGATACGAGATTGTGTTTAATGACGTATGTAAATGAGCTTTTTTGGAATACTACCACGTAAGTGTACATCGTTTACGGATAACCGTATAAAATCCTATCCTTAGCATTCTTTGAAGTAAGCTAATTTGATTGAATCCGATCAATCATTGTTCTTTATGTCGTATGGTAACATTTTTGTTTTGTTTGCTAATTCATGATAATTTAATGCAATTTTTCATTGATTATCTTTACATTTACTTTAATGTTATCTGATTTTTGCATTAGCGTAATCAATGTCATGGTTAAGTGACTTAGCCAATAAAGCCGAGAATTTTTTAAACACGCTCGATAATTCAGCTGCAGAAGTCTTCAGGTCAACTAATCAACAGGAATTTCTTGAAGAACATATCAGTGACAATGTGGACAATAATAGAACTTATCCTATCGAGACATCATTTAGATATCACACATTCACAGATACTAATCAACCTAATGAGTTGTTGATAAATTCAAGACATGATATGCCTGTTACAGTGATGCCATTGGAAACGTCAGCTACAACTAGGTTTTATCAAGCATTATCAGAAAGCAATAATCAGCGTACACTGGTTGACACACTAAATAACAACATTTCATCAGAATTATCATCATCGTCTTCTGTTCAAAGCAAAATATCAAGGTAATTATTTAGAAAATAATAAAATCAAGTTGTAATATGTTTCAGTTTATTGTGTAAACAAGTCGGTCTTACCGTTTTTCGATTGGTTTGATCTTACCGTTGACCTCTTCTATCGAAACTGTAGGGGATTGAATTGATTAATGAAGCAACTAATTTTCGAACAATTTATCGCAGCCGAGGACTCCACTCCATACTAGTACCATCATTAGAAAGACAATATGAACGAAGAGGTATTACTTTTCAATTAGTTCTTCATCAAGGCTCTACACTGATATATGTATGTTTCATGGGTGAGTAATAAGTCGATACGAAGTAGATGGTGGTGAGTCAGTTTACCAAAGTAATAATGAGTTAGTTGCATAATGTTTGGAACATTAAAATTAAACCTAAAGTAAATATTCATAATCAGTTAATTACTACAAATAGTTACGTAATTAAAATTGGATGTAAATACAAATGTTTCTTGTTATCTGTGAAATTAATGATAGCAAAACATAACAAGAGTAGGCAGCCTTGTCTGACTACAGTCCTTACTTGGAATACATCTGTTAGTTGTCCTTCATACACGACTTTACAGTGTAGTCCGTTTTAAGAATTCCGTATGATGTTGGCGATTTTCTCAGGCACTCCATTTGTCTGGACCTACTGGTTTCCCACTGTTGATTTGTCTAATAGTAATGCTGATTTCTTCGATCGTTGATGGAGTAAGGTCCGTGTATGCTGCTCTGATATCCGGTGGATTCAGTGGAACTGTCGTATTCAAGAGTTCCTCGAAGTGTTCCACCCATTTGTTCTGTCCTTGAATTTCAGTGATTGACTTGCCTTCTTTGTCTTTGACCGGTTTCTCTAGTTTACTATATTTCCCTGTTAGTTTCTCTGTTATATCATATAGCTGTTTCATACTTCCTTCTCTTGCAACTTTCTACACCATCGCTTCTATGTCTTTCACGTATTGCTGCTTGTCAGCTCTAATGCTCCTGTTAACTTGTTTTTTCGTTTCTGTTTGCTCAGTTTGACTTTCTCTGTTCTTGTTCGGCTGTCGTTAACTGCTGTTCTCTTGTCCTTCCTTTCTTGAATCCTCAGGGTTTCGATGAGGATCCGTTTCTTGTGATGATGCTTTTTGAGTCCAGAGCCTTCTGTTACGTTGAAGTTAGTGCTTCTTTTATCCCTTTCCAGTTGCCCTCTATAGTAGTTTCTTCTTTTTTGAATGGATCTTGTATGGCTTGAAACCTGTTGTTGAGAGCTATCTTGAATTCGTTGAGTTTGTTAGTATGTCAAAGGAAGACTATATTGAACCTTTGTAATGTTGTTTCTCCAGTTATCCAGTGCTTCTTTAGCCAAAGTTTCATCTTGGCAACCACCAGGTGTTGACTGAAGTTATGTCAACTCCTCTTCTGGTCCTCACGTCTTCCATCGACCTGAATTTTTTAGTGACTCAAATATGATCTCTCTGGTTCTCTGTGGTGTGATCCGGTGAGTCCCATGTAGCTTTGTGCATGCGTTTGTGGGTAATGTTGTGCTACGTATAACCGTTTTTAAAATGTATCAATTATGTACGGTACGCTCTGTCAGGCTGATTAGACAAATAGCTCTAGGTAAGCTATCAACCAGTTATCATATTTGTGAATGAGCTAAGATAATTCTTGGATGCCCAAACCGAAGCAGGTAGTTTACTTAGGGGGTCACACCCCGAGCCTTTGACCCGAAGGTCTAGTCCACAAGGCAGTGGAGCATCGTGAGGAGATGCATTCCCATAGTAGCCGGTGACCGACAATTGGTTCATACGCCATTCGTTCCTTCAGGATACTGGAGCCAGTCCATGTGCACCGTTGGTTTTGAAATCAGGGTTTTCCAACTCCCTTATGTGAACTTTCCGTGTCCACCAACCCGATTAGAGCGTAGGACATTCGCTTTTTGTCCTCTCAATTTCTTCAACAACAATAATGTCACGAGAAGGCAGTGAGTAGGACTTCCCTGTCAGAGGCTATATTACGCATGGACATGTGAGAGTATTTCGAGAGGGATAGCGGACTCTCCCCACTCTCGGCCATACCAGGGCATTTGGGGGCTGTTGAAAGATAATAAAATAACTTGATGTTTGGTTCTTATGATAAATCGGATTACAAAATTGACAAAAAGATTGACTAGTTTTCTCCAATAATTTTGGATAAGTTCTGTGTTAAATTTAAATTTCACTATAGAATAAAATCGTTTTTTTCCATATGAGTTTTCGAAAACTTTCCATATCAGTTAATATGTAGTATTCAATACAATAGGACTTGTCATACAGCTTGTGTCGACTCAAGCTGCTACTCTACAATAAAAAGATAAGGAAATCTGAATATGATGCACAGCTAAAAAGTCGAATAGATAGTAGTCAATCAGTCATTCATAAATAATCTAAAACCTGGTACATACATCCATCGGTGCAATTCTCTACTTCATATCGGCACATAGAGATAAAATTATCAGTACATATGCCAGAGTGGTAAAAGCAGTAACAATATCAGTAGTATTGGAAACGATTAAATATCAACAATAAGATTCTAAAAGATGGAATAAGTTCGTAAAATAGAAAAAGTATAACAATTTTGAAACTTGAGGTTTAAGGGAAGACAAAGAGTGAATATCAGCGTGATCGATTGTCAGTCTCATCGCTCAGTCTCCAACCATTGGTATTGATAATCGTTCAAACCCCAACCATTTAGTCTACGCTTGCCTACACAGCTCAATTCGACAGTCATTAGCTCCATGGTTAAGTTTGGTCTTTTACTAGCTTATTTGTAACCTACTACCGATGTTTAATGATATCGATTATTATTTTTAAGCTTATTAATTCGAACCGAATCCAAATTGGGTTTCGGATTAAGTTTCATGTATTACACCCTTTTTTATTTAACTAATATGTGGGAAATCTAGAGGTTCTCCGATTCAATGGCTTGGTGAGTTGCAGATTCGATTACCTCTCTATCTACTTCAGTTTTGAGCAACCGATTTGTATGACTAACTCTCATAC